ACCTCCTCAAACATCCCGGCCCGGATAAGCATGGAGGCCATGATCTTGTAAGATTGAGAAAGATGCTCAAACCCCTTACTCTGCTGGCTTGCCCGCCTAAAAATCCCCCACAAAGAATCAATCTTTTCAGCCTCAAGCCAAATATTATTGCAGACACATTGAAAACCCAGAAGAATTTCAAGAACGTCTTGAGGTTTTAACGGATGAACTCTCCAAAATCTGCGAACAGTTTCTGGGGAGATACAAGAAAGCCTAAAAATGAAATATTTGAGAGAAGAGTTGGCCAAAGTCTCACCGCTGCTGCAATCAAAGAGATAAGAACAATCTGGTATCACATCTTTTGCAATGCCTCGAAAGTTAATCGGAATTGGATGGATGTTAGTGGGTTTTATAGCTGATGGAGAAGATCGACGCGAAGGATGAACAGGAACGGAGGAGAACAGAGAATAATGTGGTAGATAAGGAGTGAATTGGGGGACAATGAAATGAACCCGTTTGATGCGCTGCTTGTTGGATTGGAGATTGTGTAGAAGAAGTTGAAGCATTCGATAGCAATGGAAAAAACTGCTACTCAACTATGGACTTTGGATTCCCCCTCCCTCTGTCTCGCATCCCTCCTCTATGTGGGAAGGAGGTATATGGTACGTACCTAATGTACATTGGGGCTAGTAATCATTCTCAAGTCATTCTTTCAAAAAAATAATTAGCGTGATACTTATTTTTAAATAATGCAGTATTTATTTTTGCAGGTTGATTCAATATAATTATAATCCGTAATATTTAGGTACAAATAATGTAGTGTTCATTCTGAAATAAAACAGTACTCAATGTTAAATAATTTAGTGTTCATTTTCATATAATATAAAATCCGTACTATAAATAATTTTCTAGTTGTATCCAAAATTTAATACAACCAGATATCATATCATATCATCATATCATATATATCCTTTAATATAATATTTGAGAGTTAATCATCTAAGAGGTTGACATTTGGCATTACTGAAGGCTTAATTTTTTGACACGTATTATAGCCACGCGTCTCATTCAGCGACTCATTCACCGATTCACAGAAGGAAACTATCCAAAATTACGCAGAGTCTTCTTCCCAAAGGAAACTAACGAAAAGAAAAATGTTAGGGGTACACCATTTGGTGTACCACATTTGTTCCTCACCCCCTCCATTACCATATAAATGGGCAAGAATTTTAAAAAAAATTAAATAAATAAAAAGTAGATAAAAATGCGTGGTGAAGAAGGGGGTGGGAGACAAATGGGTACACGGTTCCCCCTAGCATGCCTCTAACTAAAAATACCAAAATTGAGATCCGCGATTCGATCGATCCCTCTATATCTTCTTCACCAATCGCCGATCCTCTCTATCTCTTCTTCACCCAATCACTCTCCTAATGAAAGTCTTCAAAAAAATGGAGTCTCTTCTTGGCCGAAGGAAATTTCAGACGTTCTTCTTCTTCCTTCATTAAGTTTACGTTGGGAGTTGGGTTCTTCCGCTGAGAAACACTGGAATTGCACAATGGTGGTATTCAGGGTGAGCCGAATTAATGTCACACAGTGTTGGTATATTTTATTGCAATCAATTTACATTTTATATAGGGTTTGTGTTCATTTGGTTGATTTGTAGGTAGATTCTTCACAGACAAATATTTAGCTTTCAGTCAAGCTTCCGTCTTCTACTTTACTTGCTAGAAAGAATTCCAGGTATAGTTTACAGGGAGGGGAAGAATAGAGATTAACAAGAGTCAAAATGAAGGAAAAAATCTAGGAATAAAATGATGGGCTCGGATCTGCCCTTGCATCAATATACACAAGGTCTGTTGTTTTATTTTCTGCCCTTAATATTCTTATTACTCCACATATTCTTTGATTTTTTTGAATGTGATTTCAAATTCCTGTGAGGATTATGTGTGTGTGCTTAGTGACTTCAAATTCAATTTTTGCTTTTAATGTTCATTCGGATGATCACGTGGTTTTTTGTGGTTAATTTCGTCTCAATGAAACCCTCAAAGTATTATCCATCTCAATCTGATACGACGTCTCACGGTTTTTCCTTTATTGCTTTGATTGTGAAAATAGTAATTTTTGAGCATACGCACAAGGTGTTTGTTAAATTTACTCTACTGGTAGGTTCTTTTCCATCAACCATTGTTAGGAATTGGAACTGTTAAAAGATGTAAATATTGGTTCTTTTAATGATCTTTAACTCGAATTTTTAACTTTCCTTAGTTGTAGCTCATATCAACAATGGTTCAAGTTAAAGATAAGTTGACTTGCTCACTTCATTGAAACAAGGGAATATGTGCGTAGTGAATAATGCATAAGATGTGTGTGTGATCGAAAGGATGCTAACTGTAAACAGATGGTATACCAGGCAGGTTGCAATGTTTTTTTTTTATTTTTAAGAATTTCTTTATTAATGTTTAAATGGATGAATTTGCTATATTTGTGTAGTGATAAATGGCACTTCTTTTTTTAAACCCATCTTTTTTCATAAACCACATGTTAATTGTTATTCTTCATTACCCTTTTGTTTATATTTAATTTCCACATAGAGAAGATGTTGGTCTCTAGCTCTGACCCAAACAAAAGATCGGTGCATTAGAATAGTAGATTAGTCTTGCATCAAAATCTGAAAAATCATAGGGAACTCTGTTAAGCCGGTAATCTTTCCCCTTCTAAAATTCAATGCCTTGAATCAATTTTCTTAATATATCCATATATATGTTACTTCACTAATTTTCTAAGATTTCTTAGTGTAAAATAGTTAGAGTTTGAGAAGTGTCAAAATAGGTAGACCGGTAGGGCATTGCAGAAGGAAGTAGGGGTAGGTTAGGGTTAGGAAAATTAAGGGCATTCATGTCTATTCATGACAATATATAGTTTTTTTGGGATAACAAAAAATTGAGTGAACGGGGAAATATTTTGAGAGTTGGAGGGAGACCTTTTAATGTTCATTTAAGATTGTGTGTACAGAAAGACACCTTTTTGTGAATGCCTGTGGACTCCCATTACAAAAGCATAACGGAAATGCACAATGTTAACTAAAAGCATTAAGGGAAACCTTCTGAGCTTACTTGAGGCCAATAAAACTAAACTCACTTGAGAGAAACAAGTTGATGCGTGCATATCTATAAAATTTGTTGTATAATATGAACATATTGGTTTTTTATAGAACATTAACTTTGTAGTTTATTATTGTTGTATTTGATTCTCATTTTCGTTCTTTCTGTTCTTTTTCCTTTTGTTTTAATATACAAAGCTATACATGAGATAACATTCATGAACTCTTTCTTGGTTTGAGAGATAATAAAGGGATATGACATTTTGTGGCTAATATTTTTGTACCATCTCTCTGTCTCTCTCTATGTCTCTTCATGATTTTTTTATCATTAGTATTTCATATATTTGATTCCTACTATTTACCAAAACACGTCAATTTGAGAGAATTTGTAAGCGCACAACTATTTCACCCAAAGTAAAGTTTGAGTCAAATTTTTTGTATGCATATGTTTTTCATGTCACCTGAATAATTTGAGAGTTGATGATCTATTTCTGTGTATAAAAGTGTCATTTGTGATGTAGTTAACCTTTCCCTGTAGCAGATCTTTCCACTGGCAAGTGTGTCATCTTTAGTCAAAGGTGATTCTTCAGCACCTACTCTTGGCTTCTCTTCTTCAGCCCTTCCGTTTTGAGTTTTTGCTACAACTGAAGACATGAAGGATTACTTGCCTATCACCTTTTAGTGGTAATTTCTCTTCTTGATTTCATTTTCTTTTGAATTCATTTTTTAAACCTTAACTTCTAGAACAAGGGATGGTTTTGGATTCGATTCTCCCTTATTCCATTTGTAATGTTTTGTCATTCTGAATATGCTGCTAAAAATTTGGGATTTTAAGTTCTTTTTTCTGATTCATTTTTAAAATCTGAATTTCTTAAACCGTGGATGATTCTGAATATTAAAGTTTCAAAATCAATTGCATTGTTTTGTGCTTTTTTATTATGCTCCGTAGACATGTTTCAATTAGACTGTTTGTTATTTTCAATTAAATATTTTGATTAAACCAAACCAAACAACTTACATTAGGACCAAGAACTATTATACTCCCTCTGTCCTAAAATTAACTTCTCATTTGACTTTTCACGGTCTCCAATGCGACACTTTGACCATTAATATCTCCATTTTTATATGAATATATATTTTTTATATGAATATATATTGTCAAAATAATATATTTCAAAAGTATGTTTCAAAATGAATCTATTGATACTAAATTTATATAAAAATTCAGTATATTTTTTCCGTAATATGCAGTCAAAGTTTACAAACTTTGACTGCAAAAGTCAAAATGAGAAATTAATTTTAGGACGGAGGGAGTACATCTTGAGTTCAATATACATTTAGTCAGTTATGTAATGTACAGTACTTCATATTTTTTTGTAAATATATTAGTTGGTTGGAGATGTCACCTCATCTCATGGACATATTTAAGAAAAAGAGGTAGGGTTGGATGCTATATACACATGTCTTTTCACTTATTCTCCAAATTCATATGGGGTATTATGGAAACCCATATAATTACTTACCTTCACGAGTAAAAATATCTCCTTTGTTTATTTTTTCTCATGCCTATCTAGAAAATAAGGTGATTTGTATGACTTACTAAGAGAATGAGATGATTAAATCTTGCTCATTGTTATTGAGAGTGGTGTTCCAATGAAACTGTCAAGTTAGTAGCTTCTAAATTGTCATATTGTGTCATTAGCGTATTGTATCCTTGATGATATGTCAATACTCAATACTAATGCTCTATGATAATACCGATTTTCTCTTGCTAAATCGTTTCATGTATTTATTTTTTTATAGAGGGTCGTGTATTTTTTAAAAAAAGATTTTTGGCATGTGGGCTGCCATATGCACAGAAGATTGTAGTTGTAGTTGATGCAAGATTTGCGACCCAGACTATTGTTGCTGTTGTTGAAGCACACGTTGCTGTCGAGGCGGTTGTTGGTGATTGCCTTAGTTGATGAATACTTGAATATGAAATGAAGGGGAATTTGGTGAAAATAGCGAATGCATTTGCTTTATCCACTGCACCTGCGTTAAAATGCTCGGTACCAAAGGTGATGATGCATTCTGAGTCATTCCAGATAACTAAGGATTCATAAATGATGACGTACTATGAAGGTTCTGTGCATAAAAATTCTAAACAATTGTAATCCTAAAATATCAAAAATGTATTATTGTATAGTTCACACATGAACTGGGAGTCATGTATTTTTTTTAAAGGGTCATTGTTTTTCTTAAATCTTTTCCGCAATTGTTGCACTGAAACCATTTCTTCCTTTATTTTTTAGCATATATGGTGACACCATTTCATATGATAAGGTTGCACTCCATTGCACTTGAGAGTAGCTAATGGTCATATGGAGATTACGTAGCTTCTCATTAGCAAGAATGCCAATATAAATGAAAAAATCAATACGAGTATTTGATAACCCACTCATACCTCTTATTTAATGCAGGTCTACATAATATATAAGGAGATGGTAGGGGTACACCAAAGGTGTACCCCAAATGTACACCACCCCCCTCTTTATTATTTATTTTATTTTGTTTTTATTTTTTATTTTATTTTTTGAATTTTACTTGCTTTTTTTGTGGTTATGGAGGGGGTGGGGAATACTTGGGGTACACTTTTAGTGTACCCCTAGCATTTTCCTAATATACTAGCATTTTCCTAATATATATCATGTAAAAGATCCCCTCTTTGTATTTTTCCCCTGGGTTTATTTTATTTGTGGAATCCTTCCAATATAAAATGTATGAGACATGATAATGTTGAAACATGACTCCCTCGGACAACTAAGATTTAATTAGATTGTGTTGGTAGAATGGCATGAACACAACTCAAGAAATGACTAACAATTTTTTTAGTTTTAATGGAGTACTTATGAAACTTGCAGTTTTTTATATTCATAATTCATTATGGAGTAGTAGTGAGTTAGTAATAAAACATTTTTAGATTCATAATTCTATATTTTCATAATTTTTTCCCAATGCCTCGCAAATGTAAAATTAGAAAATAACTCAAAATATACATTCTTTAAATCTACTTTTTTTTTTTTGCAAATGGAAGCTCTTTTGTAAAATGGACATAGTAGTAATTACTACAAAGACTATTTTACATAATCAGAGTACTTTACATTATAATATTATAACTTGAAGTCTTTCAAAAAATTTGAAACTAAAAAGACTTTTTCGATTGCACTTTCAATTTTTCAAATATTATTTATTCTACTATGGCTTTTGTGTCCATAGTATTAAAAATCATGCAACAAGTATATTTTATTTATTCCATAAAAATATTTTATTGAAAAAAAAATTAATTTCAAAAAATTTTTGTTACGTCCCGTGCGTGGCACGGGTCAAAGTACTAGTCATATATATAAAGTAGAGCGGATTGAATGTGGTTGCGCCATGTGTCATGCCATGTAGGACTTTTTATCAAGTGTCACGCCATGTGTAGCCACATAAGCTTTCTTCTACCAAATATCATTCCATGTGTTTTAACATTCAATTACATGTCATGTCATGTAATAATATACTATATTTTTTATATTATGATATGTTTTATCTTGCAATTTTTTTATATATTTCACTTTATTTTTTTAAAATAAGTTTTTTTATGGAGTATGAAAATTCATTACAATTAAAGTTTAATTTATTTGTAAACAATCATTCGTGCATTTCTAATAGATTTTAAATCATTATCGATAATGCCTAAACACATGCGCCAATAACACAGAGTACGTGTTAACCATTAAATAAGAATTAATTCTATCAAAATCTTTATAAAATCCTTCACTTTCTAACACAAAATAATCATTATTAATATTAAAGATTAATAAAACCTTCAAACTTTTATAACATATTTTAGAGAAAATAATATGGTCATGTCACCTATTATTTTGTAGAGTTTTTGATGTAGCTTTTAATATGTAAACATTGTAAAGTTAATTTTTTAATCTTGCTTCAATTCTCTAATAAATTGAATTCGAAATAACTTCAGTCAAACATCGTAAACCAAAACAGACAATTTAAATTGGGACACAGGGAGTAATATAATTATAAAAACAACTTTGTATATAATTTTTAAAATTATCCATAATTAATTTTATTTTAGTATTTCTCAAAAACATTATAATATAAATTTTAAGTATATACATCTTTATTTAAAAAATTTATATAACACATACAGAGTATTATATAATTATTAGAAAATTAAAATAAAGAAAATTGCATTAAGAGAATGTTAGAAATTCAGAATATATACGAGCTCGTGCAAAGCACGGGGTTAACACTAGTATAATATAATTTGCCAATTGTGGGTGTAAGCGTCAACCTCTCCTTCAACTTTTGCTTTTATAATGCAATATTTTTAGTTTTATTGGGATTAGTACAAGCCCATTTTAATGCATTTCAATTTATTTTTTTATTTACTCCAAACTTATAATTTGACTTATGTGGTCAAATTATTTTTAACTTTTATTGTATATTCCTGAGTCATAAAATATACTTCTCATTTCTATTTATGAGATTTGACTAACTTTATTTTTAATTTAATTTATTTGATTGTAGTTGTAAGACTAATAAATTAAATTTATATATTTAAAAACTACATCAAAAGTTCTACAAAACGAGAGCTGATAAGGTTATATTATTTTATTAAATAATTAACGAATATAAGAAAATAAATTGATTAAAATTTGACCATGTAGGAAAAACGTTTTTGGACGGATGGAGTATTACGAAAAAAATATATTGAATTTTTCTATGATTTTGATATCAATAGATTCATTTTAGAATATAATTTTGAAATATTTAATTTATATATATATATATATATATATATATATATATATATATATATATAGATTAAACTTGCTCAGGCCTGGTGTTGGGCAAACAAAATGGGTACCACCTTCTTGTATTCTTTGGATATTTTTAGATTGGGCATCTCAACTTTTAAAAAAACTAGTCCCCGGACCTAGTGAACCCCTCCCTTTGATGTACCCCCACCTCTCTTGTTTTTTCCCTTTTACTTCAATAAAGCTTATCCTTTACTATATATATATATATATATATATATATATATATATATATATATATATATATATATATATATATATATATAG